TGGACTGTTTGAGGTTAGACATTAACACCATTGGATGCCGGCTCAGTGGTCCAGTAGGTTGAGCGTTCACGCACGAGACTGAAGGCCCTGGGTTCGAGTCCCGCGAGCGGGATCGTGGATGTGCGCTGCTGGGGAGTCCCGCAATGGGACGAAACAGCCGTCCAGTGCTACCAGGTTTTCAATGATGGTCTAACATCAATCGGTTCATGATCTCAATCAAAACTTAACAATCTCCGCAACCCCTGTACTGGTGTTATAATTGTCATATTGTTCGAAATTATACTACATTACAGTATCGGTCGGTCAGTCAGTCAGTTACAACATAGAACCAGGCACATATCACACACATTACAGTACGAGAGAAAGAGTTCGGTGGTGTCAAAATTCATTATGTTAGACAACTGTAAATTAATGATGGCATATTATTGGCTTATTGCTTTTTTCCGAAATGAATCCTTATTCACTGATTATTTTGTGTCCATGGTAAATTACGTATACTTAAACTCACTTTATGATTAACTTCCATTATGCAAGTGAATTCACTGGAATAGTCTTCTATCGAACAATATATTAATCTTAATGTTTGTACTCATTACGAATTAAAATATGTCTGTGAATTGATTTTATAAAGAGACTGTTTGATTTCCTTAAACAAAACCTCAGTGTGGTTGGAAATATTCATCAGGAAACCCTAGACGTCAGTTACAGCTTGAGTAGCTCAATGATGACGGTCCAGATCTCACGGAAACCACCAGTTCCGTCAAGATTCCATCTCCAGATTAGTGACAACTAGCACAAAATCTAAGCCAAACAAAGTTTCTTAACTACCTGCCACCTAATATCATAACGCGATGTTAAGTCACTTAGACTAGCGGCCACATTGCAACCTGGTCGATAGAATTTGACCAGTATTGAAGTACCAGGCAGACATGATATTGATCACTCCGTAGTAATTAATTAGCGTACATAAAAATGTCAACAACTGTGTCCTATAACTCAATGATTTTGTTAGATATCATGCCATTAGCATTGAGACCTACATATTTCTTAGATTCCATTCTATCTGAGTTCATCGGCCTACATATTATTGCGAAATATCATCAAAAACCAAACAGCTACACCTAGCAATTTCCTCTGTTTTCAATGACTTTTTTTATATAAGTTTCCATATTCATTTCTTGCAAAATCTAAACTATTTGAATAAATTTAGAAACGTTATTTATGTTACAGGTTGGTGGTATATCGGGTTTTTTGCATACAAGTTTAGCTGAAGTACAAGCTGTTGTTGGAGCACATACAACTAGCCTAGGTGGAAATGCATTATTATCATATCACTTAAGTGAAGTTGTTGTTCTTCGACCAACTTCAAGAAATCAAGCCCAATGTTTGTTAAATGTTTGCGGAGATATGGCTAGATTAAGTTGGGAAGAAATAACAAAGAAAATTCCTAAAATCTAAAAAAAGAAAAAAACAATTTCAGTTGTCAATTTAAAACTTCATATTTGCACAGTTACTGAAATTTTCAACAATTCAATTGTGAATTCGGTCGGATTTACTTTGATTTTATTTAATCTGCATAATAAATAAATAAATATGTATATATTTCCTTACTGTCTTTTTGAATTCATCATTTTAAGCTCATTTCCACTGGTATATTGTATTACAACTCTGTAATATTGTAGTGTACGAGAACACAGGTGAGGACAACGGGATCGTATTCAACATAACATTACAGACTTACTTGGTAAAATAGAAAAACCATATAGTAAATCGTTAATTTGCAAAATATCAATGCATCATATAAACCTGGACTGTTCTTGTTGCAAACATCAATCAATTGTCTCACATTTCATTGTTCATGCGTTTTCTTACAAATTGCATTGTGTTGTCGCTCTTCCTTTCTTGATCTTTCCCCATCTTCTGCTGCCAGACATTGCGTTTTTAACTCGCGCCATATACTACTTACATCGATATAAGTAGCACGCACCACACTATTATGTGACCTACTTAATCGATGATCAAACATCTTTAATAGGATATCATTGGGAATAAAGATATATATTTTTTCAAAATATAAAACATTAGCCAACGAACGTAATCTGATGTTTACCAATAGTGTAATTCTTATCTTTCATTTTTGTGATATCGAAAATTACTTATCTCAGATTTCCTTCTATAATACAAATCTTGATGTAATCAACTCATTATTGGTAATTGTGTACAAAATATATTGTTGGATTGTTAAAGTCTAAATTGAATAAGACTTCAGTCCAGTTGTTAGATGAATATGATTAGTAATAAAGCGAAAAACATGTCAGGAGGTGTGTTAATAATTGAAATAATGAAAACTTCTCATACCCTTTCATTATTGTTTAGACAAATTTACGAATACTATCAAAATTGTTTATTCGTTTTAAAGTAGGCAAAAATTATAAAATATACATATACAATCTGTATAATGATCAGTTCACTACTTCAATTACCTTTGTCCACATCATACAAGTTGGTAAAAATGACAGTTTTTTCTTTGTTTATAAGTGATTACAGTCAAATAAATTGATCAAAAACTAAATCCAACTTTCATACGAAAATTTAAATAAAAATGTTTGCTATTAACTATGGAGGTCAGGTCAAGACACTTACTTACCTGCAGTCAGATCAAATCAGATAATAGGGACACAATAAAACCTTAGTATGCTATTTTAATTCGATTGATCTATCCTAGATAAAACTAATTGACATTTGCTTTGAATCTGAGTTTATCAAAAGGGGTTTTGTGGCGATTTTAGACATTTCAATAGTTGAACTCATGAGTCAATTGAATCTAGACCACCATGGAAAACCTGGAAGCACTGAACGGCTATCTCGTCCTAGTATGGGACTCCTCAGCAGTGCGCGTCCACGATCCTGCCCCCGCGAGATCCGAACCCAAGACTTATCAGTCTCGCGCGAGCGTGGGTGGGAATTGCTTAGGAGTCTCATTTTAGGACGAAACGGCCATCCAGTGTTTCCACGTTTCCATGATGGTCTAGCTTCAAATGACTCATGACTTCAACTATTGAAATTTATAAAAATGATCAATATATGTCAACCAACGCTTAGGCTTCATTATTAGTTCACTCCGCATTTTTATTTTCTAAAAATCAACGTGACTAAGTGTTTGTCACAAAGACTGCTGTCGGTATTAGGATGGAAATACCTCGAATTTTTTATCAAAACGTTCTGTCATATAATGAACACTGAACTTACAAACCACCAGTGATCAGAAACTGTACGCTGACAATTCTTCGAACACAACAGTACATCATAATCACTACCCATGCTAAATTAAACATGATTTACCCTGGGTTACTCAGTGCTCCCCAACACAAAAACTTACGTATGTTACTTTCCAGTAATAATACATTTAAGTGTACAGAATACCAGATATAACCTTAGTTTCGATCAGAAAATCCCACTATTTTTCTTCCCAATTTAATATCCATATTTTCTTACTACCTCTGGGTTCATCATCATAACCTCTCAGTAGTAATAGCTCAGCTAACATGTTTGCGTTACTATAAAGAGATACTGTACAAATTATAATTAAATATATAACTAGAGCACTGTGAAAAAATGCACTTATATTTGAGTCAGGCGCAAATATCATACTTAAACAGTTTTGATAATCTACCCGAATAAGTGCATTCAAAATCAATCTACAACATTATGAAGATGTAACTGTGTTTAACTATATTAATCCCACCATAGATTGAACTGTAAATAAGTGATATGAATCAAAATATCGAAAATAATCTATCTTTATAATTATCGTAACGTCACATATAGAGAGAAACAGGATTAGAAATATCAACAAAATTCGGCTGAATACAATGACATAGTACTATTTATAAAAGTATAACTGGCATAATATTCGAACCAAAATCTAATGGTTAATATCATGGTTTAAGTCACTGAAAGATGATAAGTTTCTAATAAGAAAATTACAGATATGTCTAACCTAAATTCAGAATTTCAAACACCTAATACATCTTATCCACTTTGAAAGTAAAGCAAAAATTAACCTCATAATTTTTTTATATCCGAACTAAAGAATGTCCCTTATTTATTATACATCTTCTTGTTGAGAATATCTGACGCGAAATCGGCAAATCGTTTCACACAATGATATTAGAGTTAGTTACTCATGATACACTTAAGCTGGCAATAAAATGTTTAATTCTGAGATGGTGAAGAAGATTTGTAGCTCAGATGGATGATTTTGATGAAGTTTTATTCTCTGAGCTGAATGATTTGGTCGTAGAGCTTATATGGTTCTACTGAACGTCATCGAATTTCTCTACATGTGGTCCACAGTTTGTCTTGTATATCTCGATATTGATTGATACTTACTGTATCTCCCAATAAGAGATACAACCAAAACAAACAAGTAAACATTAACAGGTTTAAGGTCAACAAGAACCAATCAACATCGAGGTATACAAGACAAGCTGTGAGCTACATGTGGAGAAATGCGAACATTTCACTTCTACCTAAAGTTTGTACTGATGATATCGTTCAGAAGAACATTGTGAAAACTCCACGACTAAATCAGCCATTTCAGAGAACAAAACTTCATGAAAAATATTTGATTAACAGAATAAAACCAGTCTCGAATAAAAAGACAATATTATTATTATTATATTTAAATTTGTAATGTTTCCTACTTACAATTTGAAAACAAAATGAAAAAGAAAGAAAAAAAAGAATATCACTTTCTTCATTAAGGTAATATGAAAACGGCAAAATGTATAATTTATGTGTACCTAAATCAGTCTAGGTATATAAGATACAGTAAGTATATTAGGATAAAGTGAAATGAAGTTATAAATAAGAACATTTGCAATGATATTGAAGTGAATTATACTAAATAATAATGATAATGAAAGCACAAACATGACAAATACAAAGTTCTATTAATAAAGTGTAATACTTCAAATTGACTTGAAATGTCAAATAATTTAATGATCTAAAATGCGTAGATTTCCTGAAACAATTTTATTTTCTAATATTGAACCTGGTGGTATATTGATAAGATTACCAAAATTAGAAACTATAATCACTGTACCCTGAAAGAAAAAGAAATGAAATGAAAGAATTTTACACAAATGACTGTTTTGTTAAATTTGTTTTATAGAAGAAAAAGCAAATAATTGTTATCAATGTAGTCAGTAAATCAATTATAACGTAGGATCAGGCATATATGTTTATCGGTTCATGTTGACCCACAGAAACAAACCAACGATGAACTCAAATAGACCATATTGATATCAGTCATCGTTGGATAGGGTTGATAGAAGATTGCTGCTCATTCTGGAATACTAGCTTGGACTCCGACCATACTCTAATACGGGCACGTACGTATCTGCTTCCATCTCACTGGACGCAGAAAAGCCACACTAAGAAGATCCATTAGAATTGAATTGAGTGATGAGAAAAACAAAATTAAGTTTCATGAACAATTGAGGTCACACTTAGATAGTCCTGAAAACGAGGCTGACCCAGATGTTGCTTGGAAAGATATACAAACGGCAGTGACATCTGTTAGTGATTCAAACCGAAGATTTTTTTTAAAAAATGGATTTCTTCTAAGTCTATTGCACTGATGAATCCTCGTAAACTCATCCCATCAGGCTCTGAACACGATGAAGAGCGAAAACAAATCAGATCTAGATTAGGTAAAACTCTAAGTAACGACCGTGAGCAGTGGTGGGCAACGAAAGCAAAAGAGATGGAAAAGGCGGCGGCTGTAGGTAACGCAAGACAGATGAAAACTTGAATTTTGCGATTAGCATCATACTCTGACCTTAGTAAGAAAACCGATGGAAACCAAAAGGCACTGGACAGTTTGTTTCATCCTAGCATGGAAACTGCTTAATGATGCATATCAAACTCATGATTCTCAGATATAATGGCGAGTGTGTAACGCTTAGATCACTGAACTGCCATCCAATTGTTCATATATGCAACTTCAATTAATTCGCGTTACTGAATTACCAACCTTCTATGTCTTACTTACTTACGCTTGTTACTCCCAATGAAGCATAGGCCGCCGGCCAGCATTCTCTAACCCACTCTGTCCTAGACCTTTCCAGTTCTATCCAATTGTTGTTCATTCTTCTCATGTCTGTCCCCATTTCTCGACGTAATGTGTTCTTTGATCTTCCTCATCTCTTCCCTTGGTCTTGAGGATTCCATAGGAGGACTTGTCTTGTGACTCAGTTCGGTGCTTTCTTCAATGTGTGTCCTATCCACTTCCATCGCCTATTCCTGATTTCTTCCTTTACTGCAATCTGGTTTGTTCTCAACTACAATAGGCTATTGCTAATAGTGTCTGGTCAACGGGTCCGAAGTATTTTGCGTAGACAACTTTTAATAAGCACTTGTATCTTCTGGATGATGGGTTTAGTGGTTGTCCAAGTTTCCGTCCCATACAGTAGAACTGCCTTGACATTTGTATTGAAAATTGTGACCTTGGTGTTGGCTGAGATTTTTTGAGTTCCAGATGTTCTTCAATTCTAGATATGCTGCACTTACTTTGCTGATCCGCGCATTCACATCTGCATTTGATCCACCGTGTTCATGGATCTGCCTGGAGCCCCTCCAGAGGCTACTGTCGGTCCCAAGCCCGGATAAAGGAGGGTTGGGCATGGGGTTAGCGACCCCATCCCGTAGAAAACTAACTCGCTAGAAAAACGTTCACCAGAAAAATTATTCAAACCTTTCTATGTCATTAGTGAATAAATGCCTCATAATCGATATGGTTGAACTCCACTGGTCACAACTTCAGACTTCCGAGAATCACTGCTTGACATAAGTCACTAATGAGCACAACCTCTCATTTAAAAAGTTTGAAACTGGTTTATATTCTGTTTCATTCGAAATAAATCACAGAGACTTTGTAACAGAAATGGAAATCTTCTAGTGAACACTTTAAAAACAATATCTAGTGATCGAAATCATGTAAGTGTATTTCAATTGTCTCTTGCTCTCCAAACCTAAATTACTTGCTATTGTGCAAGTAGCAAGTTTGATGCGTGACTTTTCATGCGGATCTGTTCTTTAAAATCTAGGTTTTACTGTGAATACCGTTCAAAATAAAAGGTAGATTAACATAGATTGATTAATCACGTAATAGTGATCAATGTCCTGTTTCTCTAGTGGTCATTTAGTTCTGCAAATCTAATTCTATCAATCAAATTATGATGTGGCCACTAGTCTACGTGATTTGACATGTTACTGGTTACTACTTGGTGATCAAGTAACGTAAATATTTAAGTCTTATAGGTTAGTCGTAGGCTGAATAGCTTATTAATAATATTTAAGAGAGTACCAATTTTTATAGGAATACAAGTACATCTTATCAACGAGACCTATGTCCAAGGTATTTTTCTCAATATCTCTAACAATCTAACATTAAGATAAACATACATTGATCCCATTACTTCTCATGTTTTCCGCTTTATTTATTTATTTGCATCTCGTAAGATATTGTTTAGGAAAGTTCATACGGTTATCACTTGATTAAACATAATAGTACAAACCTTGTTTTCTGTACATAATACTATTAAAGTTCAAATTATATTTTATAAAAAACCAAAACAACTATAATACAGTTACTTTCAGTCTAAACATTACCTTTAAAACTACTCCTTTTCCAAAGTATACATCTCCTGATACAGTTAAATGATCCAATTCCAATAGATCTGGTATACTTGTAAATCGACTTAAGAAATCTTTAACTTTTTTAAAATGATTACCAAGTTTTACTAAAGGCACAGATGGAAAACTTCTTAATGGAGACAATGATAAACTTCCACCATCTAATACATACAAATTAGACATTACTAATAATAAATCTGAAGTAGTTTTAACTGGTAAGAAACGACTTCGTGGAACATTAACACCTAAAAATAGATGATAATTATTAAGGTTATAAATGAAATAATGCAAGTAAAATTGTATCTTTAAAATGAAACCAAAATGTGTATATTATTAATCATGGGGTAAAGTGTACAATTTCTCCTTGTTAGAGAAAAGTAACACTAGATATGGTAATCCTGTTCTGTAATTACATTAGTTTATCCATAAATGAACTATTTTCATTTAAAGAATGACATGTATAGTCACATGAAAGTTAATTTGACTAAAAATAAATTACCATCAAAGTAACTAATTATCCATCGTTTTTTTTTTTCTTCAAATCATTACAATCGACTCTCTAGTATTATGGTGTGTGCTACTTATATCAACATAATTAGTATATGACGTTAGTCAGGAATAGAATATCTAGCAGCAGAGAGACAAGAGGATCAAATAGTAAAGAATGAAAACAGAATGCAATTTGTATGAAAATGCAAGAACAATGAAGTCTGAGTCAGTTTAAGACAATTGATGGACATTTTGCAAATTAATCATTTACTTTATGACTGTTAGATTTTATTAACAAGTACTGTAATTTTCTGTCAAGCACTTTCGTTTGTCCCTACTGGTGTTGTGTTCACTACAGTATCATGATTTAAATATAACTTATTAACTATATTTAAAACACATCGTCCTCCTCATTTTACATCCGGTATAATATTCGTGGACCGAAATACCTGGTCTAAATAAATAGTGGGTAAGTCGGAATAAGAAGGCGAGTTCATATATTCTTTAATCCATAGTAGCATTTTATAACATCAATTTTATTCCAAGTGAAATTTTGATCAGTATAATATTGGTTTTATATTTTCCAGTGTAACATAACTTCAGTTTAATATGTGTGTACCAATTAAGTGTTTAGTTCATTCGGTATAACAAGTGTGAACTTTTGATCTAATATAACAATTATATTCTATGTATTATTATGTGTGAATTTTGTATGTGCTTTACAGTAAACTTGGTTAACGTTTCATTTATATGGTGTTTACTAACTAATTATTATGTTCATTTAAAATCAGTGTGTAAATAAGCGTCCCTAGCTTAATGTTGGTATGATTTTAAATGACCTATTTTGATGACTTGTTTTCAGTACTTTTCATGTTCATTTCTATCAGCCTTTTTGTTTTTACTTGGTTCCTATTTCCAATCATAAGCAATAGAATCATAGATAGAAAAGAGCAAGCAATTACATAACAGATGGCATCCCAAACACAAACATAACAACGGTGAATGTTTTAATTCGTAAGATATAATGTAAAATATCAAGTAATTGATTCTCTGAGTGATCAATAGTCAAGAACATTATAACCATATACATTCATTCTTACCAAAAGCACCATTAAATGACTTGATAGCAGCTCCTGCAGCCTCTTCTAATTGTAATATATTTGTACCAGAATCTAAAGTTTTAGGATTGACTATAATTTCCATTTGTAAAGTTTTTTGTTTAACACTACGATGTAAAGCTTGTAAATCAATCCAAAGATTATTAGTATTAAATATTTTAAATGTTCGTACACTAGCAAAATCATCCACATGTTCTTCAGGGACCTACAATTCAAATGAACATTTTAAATGATGATGATGATACGTTTTTCATAATGGAATTTTAACTTTATTTTTTTCTTATCATATTCAAATTTTATAAATATATAATCATCAAATAAAATAAAATTATACCTGAGCTAATTCTAAAAGTCTCAAATGTCCACGATATTGTGTTAATGTACCACCTTTAACATCAGCTCGTGTTTTATCAGTTACTTCCATAACAAACTCTGGTGATTGTTTATCATAATGAGATTCTTTATTCATTAAAAAATTTAGAATATCTTTAAAATACATATAAATTAAGGAAAATAGTTTTACAAAATATTTGAATTTATAATAAAGTGAATTAATAGATAACAAGTTGTTATTGTCTATTTAACTATTTGTATTTTATAGAAAAGAAATGACAAAAATGAAGTTATTTTTTCTGAACATTTCGTAACTTGGTGTAGGCCACTTCTTCAGTGGCCCAACCATTGTTACTACCTTGATGTGGTAGCCAGGCTATCCTATCGTGATAATTCAATCGAGCTATACTGGCTGGAACAATCGTTCCTCAAGGTCCTATCATGCCGAATAGGTCGGTTGAAGAGCAGTAAGACTAAAAGCAGCAAACCAAAGATCCGAAGGCAAAGTCGTACTGCTGACTGTACAGAGGCTTGACGGTAGTAAAGTGTTTCCTTCAGAAAACCAGCATAACAGTGATGCTGCCTTTCCACAAAGAGCGGTGGGGTTAGAAAAGGTCGACTGTATGGTTAATTTAACATGTTACAAGTTATCTACCCAACAATTTGGTTTTGACGGGCTTTCTACAACAAACATTGGAAATGATTAGAATTTCAGTTGCTGACGTTACCTTAAACATAAGTTTTATGCCACCGACTGCCCGACGTGCGATGTTTTATGGTGTAGGAGTAAGTTGGAAGAAAGATAGGGGCGGCCAGACCAAAACATGGCGCAAATCCATGAAGTCATTGACAAGTGGACTGAGCCATGTTGATAGGTGTAGACTACCTGGTTGGGATCCGCGAGACGATAGCAACTGATGGTTAGAGACCTTGAATGACATGGCTCAAAATCGTTTGCAATGGCGCAGGTGCATCCACTCTTTGTGTTCTCCCAAATTCTAATCTTCTGAATTTTTCATGTCCCGCTCTTTTGTCTTTCCAAATTTATTTCATTGGATTATACTCTTTAAATAACATCTCCAAACCCTAATCTTCCCGATTACTGCTTATAATTTCACTACCTCTACCACTACGGGATTTGAATCGACAATTGTATCTGTGTGCTAATGTGGTATGGCAACTCGAAATGATGTACGTACATACGAAGTTCTGCGTTGTTAATGACAGACTGACTGACTCATTTTTATCGAGCTGTTCTTTTAAATATTGACGAATATTCATCTAAACTTTATCTATAACCTGTCGAATAAATTTAAATAATTTAGATTCAGGAAAACTTGAATACGATGCAAATAACTTGTATTAAAACATTTAAATAACTACCGTCATCAAGAAAGGATACTTAGATCAACAGTTGCTCCAAGATTATCAATATTAGACAAGAAAACCCATTGTTTACCAATAGCTATCATTTTCTCTGCTAATCCACAAGCAACAAAACTACGATAGAAGTCACCATGTCCAGGAGGATACCATTCTTCAGGATTATAGTTCATATCTTTAGAAGTCTTTGTTCCAGAATCATGACTTTCCTGACCAGCACATTTAGCAATAGGAAGTAATGACTCACGATTCAGACGAGGATAGCTAAACGAAGCAGAAAAAGTGACAAGACTTATTTTTTCAAAACCAAAATATAAATGGCAAATTAGCAAAAATAGTCAAACTTTTAAAATGTTAATAACTATGGTTTGTGTTTTACTCAGTCGACATTGTTCAAATCCTCTCAGATAAATAATTTATGAATGGAATAGGATACAAAAGCGTATAATATTGATAAGCATTTTTTACAGTCCTACTACCTCTTACATTTTAATTGTTTATTCGACTTGGATCTGTTTGTGTTGAGAATCCTCTAAATGGAATTCGAAAAATTGTCTATCATTTATTCTAAAACTTGAAAGTGTCAGAATACTTCATTTCGTTGGTAAATCAGATTCAATAGTGAAAAGTTTTGTATTTAATAATAAAATCACTTACCAGCTCTGTAAAAACGTCAAAATTTGAACATTAACTTGCTGGTATTTGCGTAAAACCTTTTCAGTTTCACTATGTGTATTGAAGGAATTCATCAAAACCAAGGGAATATTAGTTCCGTATTCATTGTTTAGTCTCTAAAAAGGAGGTAATATAAAAGTGTTTGCGTCGATCGCTAGTGGGACTTTCTATGAATTAAGATGCGAAAGCATTTCTCAGACAAGGATACGTAGTAAACTTAGAAATAAGTAGCTAACTCAATTTTAAGAACAAATTACAATTTGCAACAAACAGGTAGCTATGTATTAAAACTGCTTTCTTCTAATGGTATTATTTCAACTCAAAGATAACCCAGACATCAATAATACAAGCTGATTGAGATTTTCAGCTACTCTTACCATGATCAGTCGAAAGTATTTATAATATCATATTCCAGTAGTTTATCATAAGAATTATCCGGGTTATGTTAAAAATGTAATTGGCTATTATAAACTATTTTCAGAAAAAATTCAATAATTCTAAGTATATTGAAGTACTTTTTATTTTTTAGAAATTTTCATTATTCAGAAAAGTTAGAACTAGACTCTGGTATAATAACTTTCCATTATTTTGGCTTCTTTATTGATAATCTCATCCAGATATGCTGATGTTGACTCTTGTAATTTGAACACGTAGAAAAATAGTGTCCAGCTGTATGTTGCTTATATTTAGTTTATCAAAAACCTAACTTGTTACTTGTTTGGTAATTAACAACGCTCTTGGTTCTTGGATTGTGAATTGGCGAAATAAAAGACTTAAAGCTTGAGAACAAATATAATCGTACACTTATCATGATTAATAATTTGCATTATTGAGCTTGAATATTTTAAAATATTTGATACAATTTTATTACTAATAAACCTGACTAAAGCAATAAGATGAATACATTTTTTGTGGGTTTTTTCAGTTGCATATGATTTTATGTCCCATATAAATGCAGGTAAACATAATAACAGCAATAAGTATTGAACGCCTTTTCTATTCTTTTAGCTCACCTCGATTTGTTGTACAGTCAGATCAAGAAAAGTAAGATTACTCCGGACAGAAATTAAGGATTTGGGTCCAGTACAACCCATTGTTGTGCCCAAGCCACCATTTAGTTTCACTACTACTAACTTATTTAACTGTTGACGGATTACTTCACGATCGGTAGGAACTTGAAGGGCATCGTACATTTTAATCTAGATATTGGAAAATGTGGGAATTAAAAAACATTTAAATAACATACTAAAGTTTAGACGCTAAACAAGTAATAAGTTAGATTGTTTTCTAAAGTAAAGGATGGTAAAAATGAGTAAATTTCATATGGTGAAAAAAACAATTGTGCGACCGAAAACTCAAAATTACCACATCTTAATGGTAATTTTACTTCGTAAACTTTGGTAAATACGATAGATACATCCATTAACAATGATAATCGATTTAGTAATACAGAACATTTCGTAGTAAGATTTCTTAATTACAAGCTGACGGAAATGTATAACCAGTTTGTTTTTAGGTTTTTGAACCTGTCTAGACATTGATTATCTTTCAATAAGTTATGGATTCTAACTTCATTCCATTTGCATCGGTTTAGCAACTCATAGTCTTTATAGACATAATACAATGAGCTTGACGCTTTGTGGTGTTTGTATTTCATCAGTTACTTAGTAGACTACTAAGAGCCTAATTAAAGTTAAAAAATTACAATACTGAATGTGCTTGTCACTTTTCCTCCAATTTGAATACTCGTGGATTCATGATTACTAAGGTAGGTGCTAGATGATCATGAGAATTACTAGTTAATTCATCAAATTCGACTGCTTCTACTCATCATACTGGTACCTTTAAATGATCGTAAGTTGCATCGCTCATATATACTACTAAACCAATTTTACACTTTTGTGTTTTGGTAAGATTTATCATATTTGGTGTGTCACTTTTGTGAGATGATATTGTTTAACCAAATGTTCAACGTTCAGTAATGATAAATTGGCTTAACCACTTCTATAACCTACAACGTCCCACTTAAGCTTTAGATATGCATCAGAACTAGTTAAAATAGAGCCTCGATAGATGAAACAATGAATATTTACAAATTTCTTGTGACTAGTAGTATTTCAGCAAACTTACAACTGCGGTAGAAATTTCGTCATTTTTGAGTTGGCAGATACATTTACTTTCAAGGCAGAGCAAGAATAACAGGATTCACGGAATAAGGGGAACTCGATTTAGTCCAAATTCTCTTATTATAACCAAATAACCTAAAACTGCAGACATTAATATCACTATGAACATAATTATTGACTAAGGTACGTAGAACTGCATTTATGATAATATTACTATTTGTAACTTCAGGTACTTTGCACCTAGGGTGAAAACTAGAAGCAAAATTCATTCACTTCATTCTATGAATTTGAATACTCATTCTCGGTTCAAACTAATCAAAGAAATTTGTGTAGGGTTTTGACAAAATGTAGTAAAGATAAGCAACCATGACTAAACCACATTTAGACTAAAGTAAATATAGTGAAAATTTTCAAAAGTACGTATAACACTGTTATCAGGTCAAGAACAGTTTTTCCCAACTCTACAAACTTAACGTATGTAAAATTTAATGAATTATGTTAAAAAGTTGTGAAACTCCAGGAAGAGCTAAAAGATGAAAAACAAGAGAAACACCATCTTACGCTTTCAGATGGAACAGGTTCCATCATATTCCAATCGAACTTTTGCGTTTTGTCATGTAAATATTGCTTAAACAACTCTTTGAAAGATATCATTTGGTTTATGAACGCTTCTTTTTCTGGAGATGAATCTGGTATGGTATTAACAAGCAAATCCAAATCCGCTGCCAAGTCTTTCTCAGCATCCTTGAGTGTTAGTTCCTTGAAAAGACTAGAAGTCTAAAACGCATCAAAGTGACAGTAAATACAAATCTTCAGAACAGTCAAGATCATAAACAATTTAATTAAACACATGGACAACATGACAAACAATACACTGGAATAATGTAACTTCCAGACATCCCACGTTAAACAACATGGGCTTTAGTTGTTACAAAATCCTCATACAGCATATATGAAGTGAAAATTAACAATATTATTTTTGTTTCAAACTCCCAAAAATAGGTAGTCACGGGGATATCTTCCTTCAAAATAAAAAAGAAACGACCAAATAAAGGATGTTTCGAACACCTATTTGCAATTGTTGCTTTTTGGAAGGCGAAAATCCTTAATTTTTTATGATTCAGGTATCAGTTCCTAGGAAAATCACATTCTTTGTCACTTAAAAGCCGTCCATATGCCTAGAAAAACCAATGAATTTTTTTGTTGCTCAACGATGTTTTCATCTCTCAGCATGATAGAAAAGCATTTCATGACGTCGCAAAAGAAATAATCCTTAAGACACAGAAACCAACTCCACTTACATCAGACGGCATCTTAACAATCTTTTAAAATGAGTCCTAGGTCAGACGTTCATTATACGACAATATTCAAACACTTGTTGTGAATAGCTCCCCATTAATTCATTTTCAGTAGATGAAATTTATTGGCAAGATAAAAGACTGATCCGGAATCGGAGCGTCTTCCCAAGTTGGTCCTGTGGATCAACTGCGTGAGCTGAGTAACTACGTAACGTAATTACCATTCATTAACCAATATGGAAATATTAGGGTCTTTTTGAATTACTGACTGGATGCCAGCCAAATATACCACATCTTTGCTTTACAATGGTAAAGAAATTGATGCATATTGTCAGGGTGCACTTTACTCAAACGTCTGCTTGGAACCTCATCAAATATATGCTCAAGAGTACGATGATAAGATACTGAATAATGTTTAGGTGTCAAATATGAGTCAAATAAACCACAGAGTATCAGTTATGAGCACAGTCAATCATATTCCTTTCTTCACTAGAATGAATTTGATGAAGTTTTGTTCTCTGGTCTGGGTAGTTTGGTCATGGAGCTTTCATCGTTCGGTCTTTAAATCACGATGGGTAGTTACAGCAAGTTAAATCAACCTAATTCTGTTCCCGTAAAGTCAAAGCATCTGTATAGCGATGAAGTAACTGACATGGTGACGCTAGGCTACAAGCATAGGAATATATTAAATCTATCCTTTGTATCCTAGTACTTGGCAAAAACCAGGAGACAGCTTGAATTACAGGCTTTCGGGCCGTGTATATGCTACTGCTCTGGAATTACTGCATTCGACTTCTAAAGTTTTATAGCCCTCTTAGTGACAATAAAATAGTCCGGACGTTGTAGACCAACCATCCAAAACGGTTCCGTTTTTTCGTTTTTTTAGATTTACTACTTGGTAAAATATTAAAACACATGTTGTGCATTTTTAGAACTAAACATGCGCTCCCTTGATCTGTTTACTAGCGTTTGGATGGGTCTCGTTGTCTCATGTTGATTCTAAAGTTATTCTCACAGGTATACATATACCACATATGGTGGTTCATCATGTAGATAGGCTGATTTTAGCCTATCGAGACTTATCGTGCAGCGTCTGGTACTACACCAAGTCCGACCAGCTTATTCACTATTCCCAAGCCATATTTCGACCTTGTTACTTATTTGCTTACTATCCCTGACTTTTTATATGATCGTATATGTGTTGATTGCTTACGCTATTCATTACGTGTCTTTAATTTATTTTCGTTTGAATAAAAATATTGAGTCATGCTTGATCAAGACGAGTTGGTTCACTCGCCTTACTCTCTGCACCTCACCTCATCTGGTTTCGCTTCGCTTCCCGCACTTCGTTTCCCAGATTGTCCATTCAAATCAATGAGTGTACGAACTATATTCTCGTATTTGTCCATTTTGTTCCGCTATTCCCTAACATAAATTAAATCGATAAAAGTATACGAGGGTTGGCGACGTGTATATTTTGACAACAATCAGCATATTATCTGACTGGAGTCAGATACAGGGCCACTAGAATTAAGTCTGTGTTTGCGGGTGTTCATTTAACAAATATTTAGGTTTTCTTCAGACTATCGTGGGTAGATCTTTAAACGGACGTCTGAGAAGTACGTTATAGTGGCCCAGTAGCTTGATGGTGATATGCCGAACAACGTGTCCCTTGAGCTCTCGAAAATCCAAAACAAAACATTGTATGACTCATATTAGTTTTCTCTACAAGTTTTTACTGTGACAGGTTCATCAAAAGTGGCTACTCAGATCTCAATTAAAGTTGGACGCCAATGCATCTTATCTGAATATGATACTCTTTAAGATTCACATATGCGTTCATGTCAAAATCTGCAGTACTTTTGTGTCCTCTCTCTTACAAAACCGAGACGGGTGATGAGGACAAATATGAGAAGTATCATGCAATTAATTCTACTTATGGCTTTATTAAAATATGAGAAGATTGACTTCGCCACCCTATACTATTCTCGTTATAACACAAAGAATAAAATGCAGCTTGATGGTAGTTTATGACATATTATGCATCTTGGGTCACCATGGCCGAAATTATTACCTAGACCTCACTCTCCCACCACACGAGGCAGTCCTCAATTGATCCCATATGAAATGGTAAGAAAGGTCACAGTTTCTCACCATAGTCTAGTCTGACGCATATCTCTCAATGCATAAATGACCACTGTGTTAATAGTTTTAGTTATTGTTCTTACAAATTATCCCCTCGACTTCGCTTCCTGTTATCTCAGCCCAACTGACTATACTTACGTTTTAGTTCACTGGTTTATTTGCCTAATTAATTTCCCTAATTCTCTTGAGAATCATATTTTGGTCGCTTCATTTCATTCCAGCGTTATAATTTCCATAATGCTGCCTACCAGTCTCGTGACTCATAGAGTAATAGCTACTTAAAGAGATGGTGTACTGGCCCGTAAATGATTATCGAGTTCACCAAGTTCGGTCAGTTGGCTAACCCAACTTCATTGGATACTACCAAACATCTGGAAGCATTACATAGCACCAATAAATTGTAGCGCAGAAATCATTTGGTTGACTTTAGGTTAGACGTTATTGCATTAACAAGGTACTATCAGGTGTGACTGACAAAGAGAGGATATACGGGTATTATTAACAAGCTGTGAATATTTTGGCACGGACTCATGATAAGGACAGATATACATATCAAAATAAGTTGTCCGGCAGGTTCTAGAACACAAACATGTTTATCGACGTCCGACAACGATAGTTTTTCTTGACTTAAAAACAGCATTTGACTCCGCAGACCACGAGATTCTGTGGCAGTGTCTGTCATTAAAAGGCCCACCTCAGAATTACATAAACCTTGTGAAGACTCTTTACTCGAACACTACTAGTCGAGTCAGAGCTTATGGCGAACTGTCATCTGATTTTGCAATCTCATGTGGTGTCCGTCAAGGTTGTCCACTATCTCTGTTCCTGTTTGACTTCATCATAGACTTACTGTCGTCGTTTGAACCTTCAGGACTTGATCTCCATCCTGGAGGTCCACTTATAGACTTAGAATACGTAGGTGACATAGACCTGTTTGGTGAAAACGCTGACAAAAGTCCGATTTAGACGTAAAGGTGAGGATTGACGAAACAAGGACCATAGTCCTACAATTGAAGGACATATGGAGCTCAAATCAATTGTCAACCAATATCAAAGTCAGGATCTTCAATACAAACGTCAAGACAGTTCTACTGTACAGAGCTGAAACGTGGAGAACATCTACAAACATCATCTAGAAGGTACAAGTATTTATAAATAGTTGTTTGAGCAAGATATTCAACATTAATTGACTGGATACCATCAGCAACACCACTCTGTGGGAGAAGACAAACGAACTTTCAGCTGAAGAGGAAATTAGGAAAAGACGTTGGAAGGGGATAGGGCATACATTGCGGAAATCATCAAACTGCATCGCAAGGCAAGCCCTAACTTGGAATCCTGAAGGGAAGCGAAAAAGAGGAAGGCCAAAGAACACATTACGTCGGGAACTACAGGGATGAATAACAACTGGAAAAAGCTGTTGTGTGCTTTGTCTGCTCCGCTGTGACTGTCTCACGAGCTAAATGAAGACCTATTCACTACTAATGTGGTTTCTTCTATCAATAAAACGAGGGTTACCTTCCGGCACGAAAGGTAAACTGAGATTCAACTTTTTGATCACCGGAAATCTCGCAATGACTACTGAATGCGATTGGTCGAGGCGTAAACATATGAATAAAAGTAAATGCATACCCCTTTAAATCGGTTTAACCCGGTAAAACGTCTTTCTTTATTATCAAAGTTCTCATCCAACAGCTGGTTTAGAGCACTTGTATGGGGAGTTTGTATTTAAGTACTAATTTTGGACACCGCTTGTCACAAGAAAGAAATCGTATCCAACATAAAGGCTGTCTGCATTCAGGAGCTCAAACCAAACTAACACAAAGATAGGTTGTGGCAGGGCAGTAGTAATAGTTTGTCATGTGATATTTCGATAAAACATTTAAGGGTTAATTATTATTCTTTCAAAGTAGGTATGAATCCGGATTGACGGAGAATTTAGTCGAGGTTCAATTTTATTTCACTGATCCTTGAACTTAAACGAGATGGTTCCAAAAAGAGTCTTACCTTAATAACGAATCTCCTGATTCTGGTGGGTAACTGGACTAGTATCTTCTGTTTAAAGCATAAATTTGATGCCTCGTATTTAAAAGGTACTTTATCGGATGATTCATGTTTTGCTTTATCGACAAACCCAAGAAAATAGGTGTTAAGCCATCTTTGATCAGCTGCTTCATGTCATACTTGAAAGGTCAATTATCTAGTATCCGAGTATACTATTTCTCCTTGATATGTACAGTATTTTAACGTTTCATCACTGATGTTTATTACTGGGGTATTTATTTTTTAGTTTTTGTCAATGAGCTTTCATACAAGTTACCGCGTTATCTTTTACGGTGATTACAGCTTTGGAGTAAAGCTCTCAGGCATAAGGATAGGTGGATATTTTGGGGGTTCTAAAGCCCAAATAACCTATAGGTCGTGTCTTCTTAGCAACAACTGACTCAACACCGTGGGCTGACAGTTTTCACTTCCTCATTCACTATCTGTTGATTGAGATCAGTGGGTTGCTCTCAACGATTTATAAACTCGCCTAACTGACACAATAATCTTCAACTACAGTGGTTCATATAGAACACCTCATGGGATACTACCTAAGTCGTCTTTATATGCTTTGTAAGTACAGAACTGATAGTTTAAGTGATGGGAGGTGGTTTTACTTTACCTGCCTTCATCACATCAAATCCTGACATCTCGCCACATAAGGTAAGCTTCCGAAAAATAATAGTGAAGTATGAGTAGTAGCCGGGAAGTTCTTTACAGATTCTCTAAGAGTGCGGCGATTTTCGATTGTCTAAACCCATTTTTACTGTGAAGGAAAGAGGGGTTACGAAAATGATTTAATGTTCATGTTAGTAAGAAAAACGCAT